ATGCGCATCCACCCTTGGACCCAGACCCCCGACGTCGTGTTTGTTGTTGTTTTTGTTCATCGTCGACCCCCAGAGCTTCCCCAGGACCGGCTTTTCATTCCGCATCGTTTCTTGACCGCCCCGAGGTCCGGTAAGGGCCACCAGAGGCCGAACTTGACGAACAAAACTCCCCCGCGAATTTTGTCACAACGCGAGGGGGCTTGGGGGCTTGCATCGCCGCGGTGGTTGCTGAGGGGATGGGGGGATTGGAAGTGGATGATCTAAAGTGGTTTTATCTGGCCTAACCCACCTTAGAAGTGGGTTACGAGTGCCCTGTGTGGCTTCGGATGATGAGACAACTCCGCCAAGAGGGGTCCGCCCACTTAGCCCAGATCTGTACGCCCTTAAGCCACTCGAGGCACGTGCAGCCCACTTCTAGGCTGGACTGGGCTGGATGGAACCCACCTTACCATCCACGTGTATCCCCCAGTCCTCTCAGCAACCCCCGCAGCGATCCAAGGACCCATCCCCATCCTCAGGACCCCATCCCTCAGGACCCCTTCCCGTCCTCAGGACCCCATCCCTCAGGACCCCTTCCCATCCTCAGGACCCCATCCCGCAGGACCCCATCCCATCCTCAGGACCCCATCCCTCGGGCGCGCACCGGGGGGCAGGGGGAAGGGAGGGGGGAAGCCTTCTTAGGAGGAGGCGGCTGCTGAGAAGGCGCCGGCCTTACGTCGGCAGACAAGGCCCGCGCCTTCTGAGAAGCAGCCTCCTTCTGAGAAGCCTTCCCCCCTCCCCCTACCCCAAATCCCTTGTGAATCGTCCCCTGGGTCCGGTTTTTCAAGGCGCTCTTTTTGTAACTGGGGGGGTCCGGTGTATTAGAGCGCTTTCTGTGGATTGGACTGGAGCTCAGGGGGTCCGGTCTGTAAAGGCGCCCCGTCGAAGGGGGGGGGCCCGAATATGACGTCGCTTTTGGAGGGGGGTCTGGTGGTTTAGGGGGGCCGATTCTTAAGAGAAGGGATTCGGAGTACCCCCTGCTGCGCGCCGCCAACCACCTCTGCGTCCACCGAGCGGTCCGCGCGGGCCCCCGCGCCGCGGGCGCCGGGCGCGCCCGCCCGCCTCTGCGGGGGCGCGGCGCGGCGGTGAGACGTGCGCGCGGCGGGTGAGGGCGCGGGCGCCGGCAGCAGTGTGAGGCTGGGGCGTTGCCCACAACGGGGGGGGCGGGCAGCAAGTCTTCTGAGCCTCCCCCGGAGACGCAGGGGTGAGCTTCCCCAGAGGGCGAGAGGAGTACCAACGCCGTCCGAGGAGGCCTTCGCCTTCTCACTCCCCCCCCTCGCTCACCGCCGAGGAGGAGAGGTAGGAGGAGGACGAAGACGAAGGGGAGGAGGAGAACGCCGAGAAGGAGGAAGATGGGGAGGAGGAGGAGGGAGAGGAGGAGGAGGAGGAGGAGGAGGAGGAGGAGGAGAAAGAGGAGGAGGAGGAGGAGGAGGAGGAGGAGGAGGAGGAGGCGGAGGAGGAGGAGGAGGAGGAGGAGGAGGACATCGGGCGGAGAGGAGGAGGACGTCGAGGAGGAGAAGTGAGAAGGCCCTCTCCTTCTCACTTCCCCCCTCGCTCGCCGCCGCCGATAAATCGGGGGGGGGTCCGAGCATGGGGGGCGCAGAAACAGCGCACCTGGCGTGCAACTTCGGGCCCCCCAGAGGGCTGCCTGTGGAGCCCATTGAGAGAGCCTTTGTCCTGCAGCCTTCGATCCCCCCCCTGGAAGGGGCCCAGGGCCACACGCAAAGCAACAGACACAATCCCCTGTGTTCCCCATGTTGTCCCATATTTTCTGGGTTGGGTTCTCGTCTCCCCCCCCCACTTCCCATATTTTCCCACACGATCCTGGGAGACGACGCTGGAATGGTGTCTGCTTGTTTCTTCCCCTCCTGAGCAGAGCCCTTGTCCTGCAACCATCGATCCCCAACCCGCCCGTTCAGTCGCCCCCCCCGTTGCCGCACGCCCGAGGGGCGTCCGAACGCCCCATCGCCGGCGCTGGCCCGCCTTGTGGGCCGCGCCGGCGGTGAGACAAGCGCGCCGCGACTCCCAGGGAGCCGCGGCGCCCCCCCCTCTCGGGTCGGGCGAAGGGGGGGGATAGCAAAGGGGGGGTTTGAGAGTCAGCTCGCGGAGCTGATTTTCCTGGCGCCTCCCGGCAACGGAGGCGACAATGCATCGAGGAATGGGCCCCTCGGCGGGGCCGAGACCAGCTGCATGCAGCAAATTTCTTTGGACGCCCGAAATGGGTACCGAAAAAATGGGTACTATGCCCAACCGCAAATGTTGTCCCAAACCAACAGCGGCCGCTGTTGGGCGGGCGGCCTCCTGTCTCGAATTGACACAGGCCGAGGCGGCGCGGACAGCGAGTCCTGTTCAAAATGAACAGGAACTGCTGTTGGGCATTGTGCCCATTCCTTCGGTGCCCATGTCGGGCGCCCAGAATTTCGTACCCCCCCCCCTTTCCCAATCCCCCCCTTTCGCCCGGCCCGACCCTCGCGGCGGCGTCCTACCTCCTCAGGAGGGCCTCCATGACCTCCGCCGCCGGTCTTCGAGAGGCCGCCCGCGCCGCGACGGCCCGCCATCTGTGGGGAGAGGGGGGGGGGCGGGCAGCAGGGCCGAGCGGATGGCCATGTCCCCCTCTTCCTCTGTCTCCCCCCCGCTTCTCATACCCCCTCCTGCCCTTCATCCCTCCTCCTCCTCCTCCTCCTCCTCCTCCTCCTCCTTCTCCTCCCCCCTCGTTCCCTCCCCCTTTCTCCAGCATGTAAGGCCCCACGAATGGAGTTCCGAAGTTGAGATTGCACATGTGGGGTCACACAACTTTCCACGAATCGACTGCTCGAAGCCGTCTACGTGCTCGCACCACGTTCATCTGCTCAGTCATTCATCAAATAATGGCATGTTGCCAGGAAGGCGCAGTGGGCACCAGATGGCGCTCTGCGATGAGTCTGCGCCATTCGGCTACCCGTTGAACCGATGTAACATTTAGATGTTCCCCAGGCAATGCTTACACTTCGTGGTTCTTACTTGTTTTCTCTGGGCCTGGGTGGCGGTCTGAGACCTCCGTGGTCGCCGTCGCCGCCCCGTAATCGCCTCGTCGTCGCCTGTCGTCTGGGCCTGGTTGGCGGTCTGACGGCTCCGTGGTCGCCGTCGCCGCCCCTTCACCGCCACGTGGCCGCCTGTTGTCTGGGCCTGGTTGGCGGTCTGGCGGCTCCGTGGTCGCCAGCGCCGCCTCGTCGCCGCCCTGTCGCCACCGTAGACTCTTGCGTCGTCGTCGTCGTCGTCGTCGCCGTCCTCCCTCCTCCCGCGTCGTCGTCGTCGTCGCCTACGTCGTCCTCTGTCTTTCCTCGTGTTCGCCGTCGTCGTCGTCCTCTTTGGCGTCGTGGTCGTTTCCGTCGTCGTTGTCGCCGTGGTCGTCCTTCCTCCTCCTCTCACGTCGTCGTCGTCGTCCGTCGTCGGCGTCTCGTCGTCGTCCCTCCTATTTCGTCGCAGTCGCCGTCGTCGTTGTCGTCGTCGTCTTCCCTCCTCCCTCGTCGTTGTCGTCGTCGGCGTCGCCGTCCTTCCTCCTTCGTCGTCGTTCGCGTCGTCGCCGTCCTCCCTCCTCCCTCGTCGTTGTCGTCGTTGTCGTTGTTGTCGCCGTCGTCGTCCTTCCTCCTCCATCGTCGTCGCGTTCGTTGGCGTCGTCGTCGTGGTCGGCGTCGTTGTCGTCGTCGAAGTCGTCGGAGACGTCGTCGGTGTCGTCCTAGTCGTTGTCGTCGGTGTCGTCGTAGTCGGTCTTAACAGGTTTTGCAAACCAAGTTGCGGGTGGGTGGGTGGGACGCTTGCGCGAGCAGTGGAGATGACGACTTCAAGTTCTGCAGAGTGAATTGCACAACATAGATTGCACCGCATCCGCTGCACCAGATGTTCCACAGCATATATAGCACCGCATATGTTGGACCACATCGATTGCACAACCTATATTTCAGTGGGTGCATAAAAAACTTGCACCACATAGATGGCAGAGCATGTATTACACCGCACAGAGATCACAATACATATTTCAATCTTTCACCACATAGGTTGCACCACATGGACTGCCCCAGATAGACTGTACCACTTCCATTGCGCAGCATATGCTGCACAACACATCCTGCACAACATGTATTGCACACCGTAGATTGCAGACCCTAATATGCACCACATGGCTTGCACCACATAGCTTGCACCATTTAGACTGCACAACATATAATAATACACAATATAGAGGTTGCACCACATCGAGTTCACACAATCTATTGTTACCCTGTTTGGGGCCAACGCTGGCGAACAGTTTTTCATGGATGTGAAAGGGGATCCGAACATGTGTGCAAAACTCTCCATATGCAACCATATCTGTACGATAGGATGAAAAGGGGGCTGGACTAACATCACATGTTGGAGAGTCATAACAACTTGTGACCTTTCGAACCAGTAGTGTGGGTTTCAACAACATCTAACTCGGGGATAAACAAATGCGCTGGGCTCCTGAGGGCGGTGTGTGCAGGGGGGGGGCGGACGCAAGAGAGAGAGAGAGAGAAGGGAGCAGGAGGAGGAGGAGGAGGAGGAGGAGAAGGAGGAGCAGGAGGAGGAGGAGGCGGACGAGGAGAAGGACAGAGGGAGGAGAAAGGATGCTGAGTGGAAAAGAGAGCGGGCCCGGCGAGGGCCGAGGACGGACGGACGAAGGGATGTATGAGAGAAGAGGGAGTGCGGGCGAAGGATGCAGGATTGGAGGGTTAGTCAACGTGTTCTTACTCGGCGTTTCGACATTGGGCGGAAATGGGGGGGGAGAGGGGGGGGGGTTGGCTCTGGACCTCCGCTTACTGCCACTGTTTGTAGCAGTGCGGCCCCTCGGGGAGACTCCAACCGCTCGACCCAGGCGCCAAAAGACAGTCAAGATCTACTCCACGGGGGGGGGAGGGGGGGGTGCGAGGGCCCGCACCGATCGGCAAAACAATGGATAAGAAACGAAGCACTTACGCGGAGCGTAGGGGATAAGAGGATTTCAGATGTCGGAGTCGTCCCCTCGCTTCCCCCCAGACCATCGTCCGATCAACAACCAGTGACTGGAGCGTCGGGCCTGGATCGATCGTGCGGCAAGGGGCACATCAGGAAGCATCACCCGACGCAGCACCTCAAGCCACACAAGAGCAGCGAGTCAGTGGGTTCGGCCGCCTCGCCTCTCGGTGACGCTCGTGATGCTGGCTTTCATCTGGCGGGTGTGCGCAAAGGGCGTTATGGAATTGTGAACGGTGAGCACACACTGGCGGTGGGAGTCCAAGTATTGAAATCTGCCAGAAACGCAAGCGGCAACTGAACTGCATCTCGAGACGTCCACACATGCATGCATCTTATGCGTGCATACACACGTGTTTCACGTGCGCGAACACGCAATGCGTGCGTACGGCTTGTCAGCGTCATGTTGACTCGCACTCAAAGCGGCGCGTCGCTTAAATGATGGTCCGGATTCTACGGTGCCCCAAGCCACGCAAACTTTGAAAAGGCCAAGATTGGAAACCGTAGTTGGCACCAAGCCAGGCCCTAGGATCACCCAAAAGGTCCCCGAAAACCCGACAAGGCCCACAAGAGGCTCTTGAGGATGCGATGAAGAGCCGGATGATACAGGCGGATCTTGAGAGAAACGCTCAAACATAGAATGCCTCCTACAGCCATGTCCTCTTAGTCAATGCTCGAACATAATCGAACACATCAAAGCAACAAAAAGTCGCCCCCGTACGTTTGACCACTTTTGCACATTCCTCCTGCAGAAAGACATGCCCGACTTACGTCGTGGGCCGTCTTGGAGAATTGCGCAGATCGGTGCTCTCGCTGGTCGCCGGCTCGAGGAGTTCGCCTGCCTGGGTTGGGGGAAGTCCTTCCCTGGGTCAGGAGGGGGATAGGGGCGCCCAGGATGCTTCCATAGCAACAGGTAGATGGGCTTCAAGATCGTACAAGATGGCCTCCAGCAGGGCTGGGCACAAACGAAGTTGTTCGCTTTGTGTCGGTGTTGTTGTTCGGTTTGCTCTGCTTCACCTCCTTGCCGAAACGAAGAAAAAGCACAGCCGAAGTCCAGCAACACAGCGTTTATGTCCAGCCCTGCTTCAAGGTCGTACAAGATGGCCTCCAGCATGCCTCCGAGTCGCTACAAGCACGTCCCAAGATGGTTCCACGAGTGACCACTGAGTCTCCCAGCGCTACCCACGAGAGGCCCAGATCGTTCAGAAAAATCCATGCTTACGCATGTTGTGTGCTGCCCTTTCGCGGGTTCGCGCCCGCTGTGCTTCTGCGGCCGCAAGATGGCCCAGAGATCGCCAACTGGGGGCCCCAAGACGGGCCTATAATCACAATAACAAAAAACAGCATAAATATAAACTCTTGGAAGTCCGCGCGGAATTCTTCGACCCTCGCAAGACGCCCCTCCCCAGCACGCGGAGGCGCCGCCAGGGGGGCCAGCGCAGATCCAAGAACACCGCGATGAGCGCCAACAGATTATGGTTATGGCGTGTGTTCTTCACCTTCGAATAATGGCTCCAAGGCGGCCCTGAGAGTGTCCCACAAACAAGAGGGTTCGACTCGACCCGATGGGGCAGGGCGAATCAGAGCCGCGCCGCTTCTGGTAGTGGAAGACCCTACGTAGGTGGTTGAATGTATTGTCTTTCTGGGGCATCGTTGGGAGGCTGTGTTGTCAACTATGGCGTCAAGATGGGTCCATACACTCTGAGATGGTCTCCCACCACGGCTCAATATAGCTTCCCAACAACCTCCATAGAGGGCTTCGAGTGGTCTCGGCGCCTCTCTGTACCACTCCCGAGAAGCAAACACACGCTGAAGTACCTAATCCTTTCCAATACGGCTTACCCTCTCAACTTTTCGCTCTCGACGGGTGAAGATCGCAGACGAGAGTCCGAAGAGGGGCCCAGAAGGGCTCCAAGACGGCCCCAAGAGCGCCGAAAGGGCGTCCCCCGATGGGGTCTACGAGGCGATGTGTCGAGCTCCGAAGGGGCGAGGCGAATTTGATGCCCGAACAGGGTGCCCGAGGCCCCGAAGAGGGCCCCAGCAGAGCTCCAATGGGGGCTCCGACAGCTTCCACAATTGCACGCCGTTGCATTCTTCCTCCCCCCGTCCCACTCCTTCGGCTCCTCTTTTTCACTTTCTCTTTTTTTCTTACCGCGTGAGGTTTCCTCGTCCTGTTCCTGTTCCTCCTTCCACCTGGGTTCATCAGGAGGAGGAGGAGGAGGAGAAAAAGTAGCAACCTGTCCTGCCCCATGCCCACGTTGTCCTCATCGGAGTCCTCGTCCTCCTCCACCTGACCGCGGCAACTGTCCTGGGATCGTTACTGGATGGGCTGGGAGGGGTATGCGAAGCGTGCAGAACTTAGTAGATTCGTAGAATGTCTTGGAGACAAAAGAGTATCGAGTCTAGGCGGGGGAAAGAACAGAAGGACGGGCCACTCGAAGAATGGGAGGGGAGCAACCTGGCAGCGCGACCACACCCAAACGGCGTGCCTTCTCAAGCTCCTCCCGGACCATGCGAATCTTCTCCTCCATCTGGGTGTTGTCCTCTCCCCGGCGCGGTCCCCGTGAGACAGACATCATCGGCGTGCCGGTGAACTCCCGTTTGTTCTACATCCAACGCGCCATCTGATTAGCATCAAAAGGACCCCTAACCCTTGGGAGGGGACCTAAGTTAGGAGGGCCACAACCACTAGGGAGAACAGGTCTTCTCTGCAGATGTATCGAACCACACCGTCCAGATCTACGATCCCTAATGCAAAGACGGGGACCTCAATAAGGCCACGTCTTCACTGTGTCGTTAGGCTTAGAGGCTCCTTTACCTTCGATGACCACCGATAGTCACATCGTGGGGTCCCTGGGGCGGCACGGAGCTGTCCGGGATCTGCGAGGACGAGGGATCGGCCCGAGACCCGTTCCCGACGTGGTCCAACGGTGGCGCCGGGCAAAGTCTGCCTGGAGAGAGTCGCCTCCTGGGGTCGGCAAGTGTCGGCGCCCACGACGGGCTCCTGTAAGTTTCCGAGCCTGCAGTAGGAATCTGATCACCAGAAACCAGTATGAACAGACCTCCCGACCCGTCCATCATGCATACCGCGGCAACCAAATCCCCAAACCCCTGAACATCCCCGAGAGTCCGGCCTCGCGCCCCTCTGCATACCGCGGCCGCCAGATACCCAAGATCCCGACTATCCCTGAGAGTCCCGCCTCGCGCCCCTCTGCATACCGCGGCCGCCAGATCCCCAGGCTCCCGAGTATCCCAGAGAGCCCCGCCTCGCCCCCCTCTGCATACCGCAGCCGCCAGATTCCCAGGTCCCCCGAGTATCCCCAAGTGTCCCACTCCGCGCCGACAAATCATAACATTACAGAGCGGCATTTTCAAATAGCAGAAGATAACACAACACAGCACGATACACTATGACAGAACAACACATACGACCACACGACAAAACCTAACAGAGACGAACATGCTATACCATGCCAATACAGAACATATCGTAACATGCAACACCATGACTAACCTGTGCATACCATAGCACAACAACACAGCACAGCGCGTTACATCACATGACAACGAAATCACACCACAACAAGCCATCGCACAACTGCACATACCTACGCAAATCATGCCGCATACTCACATACCATGACAAATAATATCATACCACACACCAGCCTAACAACTCATCATATGACATGCCGGAGCACACATAACATGATATCACATGCCATACCATAGCAACGCATGGCTCCACAAAACATACCATGTTAGACCATGATACAACACACCTTACCATATCACATCACCACAACACATACCCATGCCATACACCACCGCAACACATATAACATCTCATACCATGGCAAGACGGGCCATACAATGTTACATCATACCAAACCAGAACACACCACACAACCATCCGCTATGACATACTTGATCGTACAGGCCATACCATCATAACACACATCATGCCACATCATAACATAGTACACTATAGCAGATGATGGCATACCATATCATATCATGAGACACCACGTCAAAACCTATCAAACCGTACCACATCATCAATTCATATGCCATCCCATGACACGACACATCATAGCATGACCGAGCACGGATTAACACATCATAGCTTCGCGTAGCTCTGTGGTCCATACGACCATAGCGTAACAGCGCATACGATGTCAGAGCATGTCCGAAGGGAACACACTTGAATCCATCCTAAGAACGCATACAATGTCATAGTGGTGCATACAACGAAGCATAACAGGTCACGCAAAAAACATAACACTTCGTAGCATAATCCAGAATCGCAGAATTTCTTCGCACGGCACAGCATGTCATCACAACGTAATGTATTGTACTACAAAAGAATCAAACGCGACGTGCGCGCCGAGGACAGGCTGGCCACAGGAGCAAACAGGCGCAGCAATTAACGATCGGACGACGTATCTATCGTGACAGGCGTCACGGCGTCACGCCAACCCGCCAGGAACAAAACAGACATAATAAAGAAACACGTATTAGAACACGATCAGATCAACGCAAGTTACCGAATTGAGTATACCGACGCCAGCATAACCTAACTAGCTCTTGTAGTACTGCTGCCGCTACGCCAACGATTTAGATGTAGCACGGTTGGCTTTTACTTAATGTACTTCTACTACATCGAAGGGAGCATGCCCTGAACAGCATCACATATAATAGCATAATCAGAAGAACCTGACATAACATACGTACCATGTCACAGCGTGGTGCCTAAGAGTAACGCACATCTTATCACATCAAATCTGACGATAGCAGAGGTGAGCATAACAGAGCACACTTTGACATAAGACAAACATAAACTTGAAGGGGAGCGTCATAACATACTAGTCCGTAGCATCACATAGACAAGCGCGACGTGCGCGCCGAAGTCAGCCCAGCCACACGCACAGGGAAGCGCAGCAACGACCGATCGGACAACGTATCTGACGTGACAGGCGTCACGGCGTCACGCCGTCCCGTCGACAACATGACATATCATATTGTAGCATAGCAGGATGGAACCTCGTCGAGCAAACACATGAGCACTGCAAAATACAGCAACGGCAAATCAAAGGCGCACCAGCACCCGCGCCTGGCCACAGGAAACTGCAGGCGCGGCAACGACCAATTAGACGACATATCGACCACGACAGGCGCCACGATGTCACGCCGCCCTGTCGATATCAGAACAGAAACAAACACATGTGCATAGCAGAACATAACAAATCCGAACACAACGCATTGGAGTAGAATTCAGCAGAGACCGAGCACTGGCGGCCTACCATGCGCGACGAGCGCGCCATGCCCAGGCTGGCCACAGAAACAAGCAGTAACACCAACGACCGATTAGAAGCCGTGACAAACGTGAAAGGCGTCACGACGTCACGCCAATCAATCCACAACAAAGCATAACATATCATACTGTCATATACTACACTGGGCCGGAATCGAACCGAAAAATATGAAGAAGAAACTTCCGTATACGCCAGCAACCACTTAACGGCGTCTCATCAACCGCGACATGCGCCGTGTCGTCAGAGGACGGGGCGTCAGGAGCAGGAGGTAGGGGAGGTCCGCCTTACCTCTTCCTCCTCCTCCTTCGTCGTCCGCCTCCTCCTCATGCTGCTGCTTCTGCTCCTTCTCTTCCTCTTTCAACAGGCTGCATATTCTCTCCGGACAAGTTCTGGGGTCTCGCGAGACTCGTTCTTGGGGGTGAGTTGTCGCTCCAGGGACTTGTTTCGGTTTCTTTCGTCAGGGTAAAACGACGCGAAGATCGGGACAAACTCGGATCGGGATAACTCGAAATCTCTGAGAGTCGGCGGGTTTGGAGGATGTATTGGGCGCCGCGGCCGCTCCAGAGCGTTCCGGAACGCTCTGAGAGCGCTCCGGAACGCTCTGGAGCGATTTATCCCGATCCTAGCCCTGCTTTGCAGGGGCCCTGGGGTTGACTTTCGGGAAACGTCAACTTGCGACCTGGCCCGGCCGCCGCGCTGGCCGAGACTGCCGGGCCCCGCGCACATCGTTCCAGTAGGCGCGCGCACCGATGGGAACAGACGACGAGGGTCTCGGTGGGATCGCTCGAAGCAAAAAAAACTGGTGTGGTTCCATAGAACCCACATCGAAGCCCAAGCAACCCAGGGCAAACTGGACGTAAGCAGGGTGTTCTTGGCACTGATTTTCCACGGTAACGCAATGCCTCACTCGCACAGCTGACTGCGGGTGCAAAGGGTGAGCAACCACTCTGCATCTCGGAGAGAAGAAATGGATTCCTGTGCCCAGTGAGTCGACGGCTCGCGGCGATGCGCGCTGGGTGGAGATTGCGACGAGGAGTCGCTCTTCCCGTCGCCCCTCAGCCGATCGTGGGCGTGACGCCCCCCGACACGCGAGAGGGCAGCGAACCGTGTCCTCACTCTGGCTGTTCCTCAGGGAGTGCATCTTGTCCCTGATGTCGTCCATGTTGGCGAACACCTGCCGAGGCATCGAGCAAACAAGATGACCTAACAAACTTCAAGCCGAGGGGCGCATCCCGAAGGGGGCCTGGGATGATGACGAGGGAACGGACGAGCGGAAGGTCAGATGCTCAGGCGAATGCCGCAGTATACTGTTGAAGCACCGGACCTGGCATGCTAGGCAGTGATTGGCAGCGAGAGTTGTGGCGCTGAACTAAGGACCACTTTGGGCTCAGGAGGGGCTCTGGCTTTCGGGCCTTTCCTACGGCCTAGGTCGGGGAACCTGTTCGTGGCCGAGGCTTGCCGTGGCCAGAAAAGCCTCTCCGTTCCTTCTTTGGCGTCCCTTCTGGCAAGAGCCATCACGGGTCGGAGGAAGAGCAAGAGTGATCACGCCCACCCGACACGCCTCCCTGGGCGAAGCCCCAGTCCGCCGATGCCCCTCTCCTTCCGCCCGCGCACCACCACTGAGGGAGGGAGGGATGGAGGGAGGGAGGGAGGGAGGGAGGAGGAAGGAGGGAGGGAGGAGGAGGGAGGAGGGAGGAGAATAAGGAGGAGGAGGAGGAGGAGGAGGAGGAAGAGGAGGAGGAGGAGGGAGGGGGAGGAGGAGGAGGAGGAGGAGGAGGACGAGGAGGAGGAGGAGGAGGAGGAGGAGGAGGAGGAGGAGGAGAAGGAGGAGGAGGACGAGGAGGAGGCGGACGAGGAGGAGGAGGAGGAGGAGGACGAGGACGAGGAGGAGGAGCGCACTATGTTCGATCTACAGCCAAGGCGCGGAAAGCAGGACCACTCTGGGCTCGGGAGTGGCCCTGATGTTCGGGGCCGCGCCGCACACCTGCGGCCGGCCCGCAGCACGAGGATGCGCGAGGAGGCTGCTCGGGGGCCCTGGAGGGCCAGCTCGAGACGTCTCGAGCGGAGCGCGGCCGACGATCGTGGCCGAGGACGGGCCGAGGAGGGAAGGATGCAAGTGAAGGGGCCCAAATAACAGGATTCCCCATATTTCCTTATGTTTCCTGGGTTTTTGTCTTCCCCCACAGTTTCCCATATTGTCTGGGGGATCGACGATTAATTGTGTCTGTGTTGTATTCCCCCCCTGAGCAAGGGTGCCCGTGGGAAGGTTGCCCAGACCTGCTATGCGGGTTGACTGCTCGGGGATCCTGTCCGTGGCCGAAGCTCGCCGTGGCCAAGAACGCCCCTTCCCAAAGGTCCGATGTCGTGGTTTGTCCCATCCGCTGGGCCGTTGCTTGACGGTCCCGGGGCCCGGCGAGGGCCTCGAACGGCGGAGAGCGGCGAAACTCGGGTCGGGCGAAAGGGGTGGATAGCAAAGGGGGGGTTTGAGAATCAGCTCACGTAGCTGATTTTCCCGGCGCCTCCCCGCGCCGGAGGCGGCCATGTATCGAGGAATGGGCCCCTCGGCGGGGCCGAAACCAGCTCTATGCAGCAAATTTCGTACCCCCCCCTTTCCCAATCCCCACCTTTCGTCCGGCCCGAGAAACGCGTCCGTCTCGATTTCTTCGATGCGAGAAGATCTCTGGGCTCGTGTCTTCCTTGGCGTCCCGCGCGGCAGCGCGTCGACGGTGCCCCAGAGGTGGCACGGCGGGGGGGAACGGGGAGGGACACGCAGATCCAGCGCCTCGGGCGGGCGGTGCCCCAGGACCCCAGAGGGGGCGGCAGAGCGGGACGTGCGCCGCGGGGCAGCGATACGGAAGGGGCCCTGGGGCAGACAAGTAAACAGACACAAATGACAGGATTCCCCATAGTTGCCCATATTTTCTGGGTCCCACGTTTTCCCATATTTTCAGGGAAATCGACGATAATTTGTGTCTGTGTGTTTTTCCCCTCCTGAGATACAGTGGGGGCCCGACCACAAGAAACCTGCCGCGAGAAGCCCAACCCTGAGACCCCAGGACGTCCATTGATTACTGGTGTGGGGACGTCACGCTCTCCAGGGCAAGACCATCGAAACTCAAGAGACCCAGGGCACCCTGGAGGCAAGCAGGGTACTTGTTTCTTGATATGGGCCCGCTGTAGTCGGCGGCGAGCCAGGGGGGGAAATGCGAAAGAGAAGGCCTTCTCAGAAGGCTCGGAAGCCCCCCCGGCCTTCTCAGAAGTTTTCGAAGCCTTCCCCCAAGACACAAAAAAACCTCTCAGAAGGCTGGAAGCCTTCTGAGAAATCCCACCGCCTTCTGAGAAGGCCATCTCCTTCTCACTTCCCCCCCCCTCGCTCGCAGCCGAGATAGGGGGCATAAGCAAAGGGGGGAAACTTCGACCTGGAATCGGCGATACATCGCCGATAGATCGGCGATCGGCCCCCGATGCAGTCAGCCCGTACCAGAAGGATGCGCGAAAAGGATGCAAGGGCCTTGGACGCCCATTCCGAAGCTTCTCGAGCGGGGCGCGGCCAGAGAAAGTGGCCAAGGATGGGCAGAGGAGGCAAGGATGCAGGGGCACCCTTGGGAAGGTTGCCCATCCTTCCCATGCGGGCTGACTGTATGCTGAGGGGCAAAAATAGGGGGTATAGGCACGGGTGGAGAACCATCGGCATGGAATCGGCGACACATCGCCGATAGATATGCGATCGGCCCCCGATCGTGAATCCGTCCTTTCCTGGACAGGATGGGGCTACGTTGAGCCCCTATCGGCGATCAGATGGCGACTGGGGTCGATGCCCCCCCCCTATGCTTATATCCCGCCCTATCGTTGCCCCCGACCTGTGGGCCCTGTGGGCCCCACTAGCTCCACAACCGCTGCCTGCAAAGCTAGAAGAAGAGATCACGGCATAAACATAACTTTCGACGGACCTGGCGCGGATTTCTTGGATCCGCGCCGGACGACGCTCCCTGGCGCGCGGAGCGCGCCAGGGGTGGCGCCGGAAGCGCCGCCAAGGGGGTCCCAGCGCGGATCCAAGAAAAATCCGCGAGGAGCGTCGAACGTTTCAGTCCGTGCGTATGGGTTCCCTGGCCGGTGGGCGTGTGCACATCCCAGCCTCAGGGAGGAGGTGGTCGGGGCGCGGACGGGGGGGGAGGAGGAGGAGGAGGAGGAGGAGGAGGAGGAGGAGGAGGAGGAGGAGGAGGAGGAGGAGGAGGAGGAGGAGGCGGAGGAGGAAGAGGCGGAGGAGGAGGAGGAGGAGGAGGAGGAGGAGAGGAGGAGGAGGAGGAGGAGGAGGGGGAGGAGGAGGGGTAGGAGGAGGCAGAGGAGAAGGAGAAGGAGGAGGTGGGCGACTGGGGGGCGATGCACATCCCAGCCTCAAGGAGGAGACGGTCTGGGGCGCGGACGGGGGCAGGCCGGTTGGCGCCCCTGCTTCTGGCGGGCGGTGCGCCCCCGAGGGGCGGAGGAGGCGCGGCGGGTGCGCGCGGGGGCAGGGCCTTCTGCTGCGCGTCCCTCCGCATCCGCTGGAGCTCGTCGGCGAAGTCGGCCTTCTCCTCGCGGCCGCCCCCTGGCCCCTCCAGGAGAAACGAGGTGACTGGAAGAACGAAAAACGCCACAAACAGAAGCAGTTGGCGCTCGGCGCGGATTTTTTGGCTCCGCGCTGGGCGCCCCTTCGGCACCACGGCGCCGCCCCTGCCGCGCTCCGCGCGCCAGGGAGGGGGGGGGGGGTCTGGCGCGGATCCAAGAAATCCGCGCGCAGCGCCAACAGTGTGTGTTCATGGTGTTTTTTTGATTCCAGGAGAAACGAGGTGACGGCACCACCGCTGCCGTCGCGAGGAGCCGGGGAGCGTCGTGTGGCATCCCTGTCACTGGCTCAGGGCGCCCTGCTCGCGGCACTACCTGTCTTCAGCGCGGGGAGGCCTCGTGGACCTCCTTGCTGGATGTGGCCCTCGGGGATCTTCTGACCCGGATCAATCCAAACCCGGGTCAGTCAGGCCTTGCAGAATCCTGCAAGATCCTGCAAGATCCTGCACCCAAACCCGGGTCAATGCGAAGGATCCTGCAGGATCCTGCGCCCGAGCCCGGGTCAACGCGACTCGGGCCCCGCAGGACCCTGCAAGATCGGGCGCTCTGGCTGACTCCCGTTTGCACTGACCCCCGTCTCTTGAGCCCCGAGGCCGGATGGTGCTGGTGTCGCCAGCTCCTTCCGCCTCCTCCTTCTGCATCAACTGCCCATTGAGGATCAAGCTGGTGCCATCAGGGCGTGGCACCGCTTGCTTCACGCCGTCTCCAGACGAGGTCCGCGCCGGGGGCTGTGCAGCCCCGCGGGGCACAGCGCCGACAGCTTCGCAGCGCCAGCAGCGCACTCGGAGCGCTGGGTCTGCAAATGCCACACTTTCTCGTGGACGCGGGGGGGCGTGCTGCACCATCGTGGGTGCGTGCCCTCTGGCAGCTGCCCGAGCACGGATGTGGTCCTGGCCACCGCCTCGATACAACATCGCCGCACGAGGGTGGTAGCGGCCGGTGCGGCTGCAGCTGCGGCGGGTGTGAAAGACACTCTGCCAAGGTTCGACAGCGATGCGGCCACGTCGTGGGTATAAGTATGGATGGATCTGAGTATGTGTGGGTCTGGGCATGAGTGAGTCTCGCCTGATGTTGAATGAATCTGGGTGTGGGTGAGTGGAACTGAGCTAGTCTGAAAGGGGTTTGAGCGACTATGGAGTAGGAGGGGGGGGTGGAGGGAGAAATGAGGCAGATGGGCTTCTCAAATAACAAGAACCGAGTACTTGTGGGAAAACACTCGAATACTTCCACTAAGGTCCGCTCGGGTTTCTTGCGCCAGCGCTGGACACCCCTGCCCACACCCTCGGCGGCGCCCCTGTCGCGCTCCGCGCGCTGGGGAGGGATGCGGGGTCCAACGCCGACACTACAAATCCGCGAGGGTATCCGAACCGTGATGTTGTGTTTCCTTCTATGAACGTGCTGAGGTGGAAGGGGGGTCTTACCGCAAAATCCTCTCTGCCAACATCAGCCCTGGTTTTTGCCTCCGCGCGAGCCATGCAGTCTTGAGCAATCTCCGCTGTCCGGGGCACACAGAGACTACGGTGTGTTCTTTCCCGTGGGCCCCGAAGACGAGGAGGGGCACCGGTTGGTGTTCAGCGTGGAACGCCCGGGTCAATCTCTTTCTCGCACTTGAAAAATGTCTGGCCTTCTGGGACGCCCGGGAGAGGCGATGGAGGCATACAGGGGGAAGGCACAGGCAGGACGGACGGACGAGGGACCCCCCGCCCTCCCAGAGTACCCAGCAAGACGTCGGTCAGCATTTCCCGTGCTTTCCTCCTCCTCCTCCTCCTGGAGGACACGTCGATGCCCGCTGTTGTCCGACACACCTCGAGCGAAGCTCCGACCGCGGGGGACCTGGAGCCCAAAGCGCGGGACGGGGGCGCCCGTCGTGCCCTCTGCACGGCCTGGCGGCGAGGGGAGGAGGGGGGCGTGCGCGAGGGGGGCGGCCTGGGGCCTCCCAGAGGGGGTCGCCCTCGCAGAACCGCACGCCCTGCAGCGTGCAGAGATGCGGTGGGCACTCTCAAGATGTGCCCCTTGGGGCAGGGGGCGTCCGCTCAAAATCCGACCCCGGAGATCGCTCCTAGGGGTCTACCCTTAGGTCGGGCATGTCCCCCTACATGCCTATGTTGGACGACAAATTTAAGACATTGATTACATATGCGAAAAGGACGAAACGTTCAAGAAATTCATTAGATATTCGAAAATAGTCAAGAATAGTCGCAACATCGTCCCCTGACTATGATTTGGCTATTTTTGTATAAGCCTCCTGTAGAGCAGGGCCGACTTAAGTCTACCCTGGCCATCTGTTCACCGCGGATCGATGCTTGAGGGGACTGGGACCCGCGGCGGGGCCTCCCGAGAGGCCGAAGCATGTGGCGACCAGCATGGCCCGAACCTCCTCGGCGCTCCTCCTCTAGAAAGCCCTGGCCCATGCGCCACCAGGGGCGTGAATGGGGTGGTCTTAGATTGGCCAAGTCTCCAGCACCACTACCATAGGTAGGAGAGGGAGGAGGAGGAGGAGGAGGAGGAGGAGGAGGAGGAGGAGGAGGAGGAGGAGGAGGAGGAGGAGGAGGAGGAGGGGGAAGAGGAGGAGAAGGAGGAAGAGGAGGAGGAGGACCTTCCCATCCTCCCTTCTCGCCCGTCCTGCATATGGTAGTTGTGGTGAAAAATTGGCCCATCAATCTGGGAGTGCGCTCGACGTGAGCAGCCGGCCTTCTCGAGCTTCTTCCGTATGCGGTCTATCTGGTCCATGCGCGCCTGGGGGCGCCGACGGGCCAAATGCTCGCCGCCAGCGTGCGTGCTCCTGGAGAAGAAGGAGGAGGAGAGGGAGGGGACGGAGGAGGAGGAGGAGGAGGAGCAGGAGGAGAAGCCATGAGTAGGGATGCGGGGAGGAGGCATAGGGGGAGGGAGGAGGAGGAGAGAGGGAGGGAGAGAGGAGAAACCAGGGGGGGGGGGGATGAGGATCGGGATGAGGGGGAGGAGGGAGTGGCAAGAACTCTTCCTCCCGTCTCGCAGAAATTCCTCCTCCTTCAGGACCCGCTTCCTTCAGAATCGCTCTTGTTCACGCTAACAGACATCAGCGTCCTGCCCCTGCGGACTAACATCGGACCCCGATCTCCCAAGCCCTCCTCTTCCAACTCCTCCTCCGTCTGCTCTAGATCGGCGCCGGGTCGCAACGCACCCTCACCCGGCGGACATCCCTGAGACTTCTCCCTCCTGCTTCTTCTCCTGCTCACTACTATCATCCACCCCCTTATTCTAACATATCCTGCATCTTCCTCATCGCCATTTTGTTCACCTGGTCCCCCCCTCCTCCCACAATTCCGCTCCCTCTCTCATATCCCCCTCCCCTCCATCTTTCCGCCTCCATATACGCCCGTCCTCCCTCCCACTACGCCTCCCTTTCCTGCATAGTTTCTCTGGGCTCCCTACTTACGCAGGACGAAGATTTTCCACTTGAGGTGCAAATTGCGATGATGAGTTGGAAATTCATGACCGAACCCCCTTCCCCCGTAGAATGTTAACACGGGCGGGTTCTGGGGTCCGCGGATCCGGTTATTCCGGGTCCCCCGTTTCAATTTGGTAACAAAAAATTGTATCGGGGTAAAAATCGGATCCACCGTTAAAAAATAAGACCGAACACGGATCCAGCAAATCCGAAATCGGATCCGCGCGGACGGCAATCGGATCCACCAAAGCAAACGCCACACCCACAATTGGATCCGCGCGAACTTCACGGGCTCCGACGGCGGTTATCTCACTCGCATCTGCTCCAGAGTTTAAGCCGTCGTTCCGCGCCCAAGAGGGAACAACTTTCGTCCTGGGGACGTATTAATCCAATCATCACCGTCCCTCTACTCCGATCTCACTGCAACCTCCTCCTCCCCCGTCCCCTCTCTCCCCGTGCGTCTCCCTGACTCCCTCCCCTTCCTCGTTCTGCCACTTTCCCTCGCTCACTCTCCCCCGGCTCCTCATTATTCCATGCCCCACTCCATTCAAGAATCCCATCAAGACCAACGGGGAAGGCCCGAAGACCCCCAGGTCCCCGACCATTGCCCCACCCCGAATGACTCTGTGACGGCCGCGGGGCCAACAAACGGCCTCCGAATGCCCAGAGTTGTCGGTTTGCTGGGGCCACCGCTGCATCTCATCCGACTTACCGTTTCCTTCGTGCAATGCCCCCCCCCAGAAGCACGACCCCTTCCGCGAGGGCCGGCTGTTCACCCCGAGGCACCCGGGCCCGAAGGCGGCACCCCGACGCCGGAAACCATGCGCAAAAACGCCGGCCGTCGCGACCTGCGACGCCCGAGGCGAGGCGCCGGCTTGGACGACATGGTGAGCGTTTTCTGATGCGGCGTTTCGGCATTTGGCGGAGGAGGGGGAAGGGGGGGGGGCTGACTCCGGACCTCTGCTTGGTGCGACTGTTTGCAGCGGTGCGTCCAAAACAACCAAGATCGACTCCATGGGGGGGAGTTGGGGGTGCGAGGCCCGCGCCGATCGCAAAAACCATGAATAAGGAAACGACCACATGGCTGGGTGGGCAACGCGGGACTAGATGGATTGGACAAGGGATCGAGGCCCGGTGCTGCGATGTCTCACTGCTCGCAAAGATGGTGTTCTGCGGCTGACCAAGGCGAAGGATGGTGCTGTGGGGCTCACTCCTTGGAGATGCTGTCCCCTCTCCCATCTCGTGAGCGTTTTTTATTCGGCACTTCGACATTGGACGGAAAGGGGGGGAAAGGGGGGTCTGGCTCCGGACCTCTGCTTCATGCGTCTGTTTGCAACAGTGCGACCCATGGGGGAGACTCCACCTGCCTGAAACAGGCGCAAAAAAACAGCCAAGATCTACTCCATTGGGGGGGGAGGGGACGGGGTGCGAGGGCCCACGCCGATCGGCGGAACAGTGAACAAGAAACGATCACCTCCCTCCGCCACCAAGCCTTGTTGTTCCGCTCCGCCATCCGTCGCGAATGAGCCAGATCCTCCCGGCCCGGCCGCACCACACTTCGAGGAGGAGAGAGGACGGGTCTGGTGCCGGGTGAAGGACGAAAAGCAAAAGAAGGCGGAAGAGGAGGAGAAAGGATGAATACGAGGGCTCGGCAGAAGAATGTACAAGGGGAGTATTCAAGTTGTTTTTTAGTTGTATATTACTGCTTCGGGGCCTTCGGAGGCCTCTGGAGGCCTCTGGGGACCTCTTCGGAGGCCTCTAACCATCCCAGGACATCCAGAGACCCCTGGAGAGAGAACGAAGGAGGAGGAGGAGGACAACGAGGAGACGGACGAGCACTAAGGAGGAGACGGGGGAGGAATGGCGAGGGGTTCTGGGGGGGGATTGGAGTGCAACGGGAGGGGAGTGACCCGAGTCTGACATGAAGGTGAGTGGATGGGGAGGAACGGGAGGCGAAGGGAGACGGGGGGATCGGTGATGGAAGACGATGATCTCGGCTTGAACGGAGGTTGTGGAAGGATGAAGACATGAAGAAACAACTTCATCGAAGTGGGGGAGTGAGGGAGGGAGGGAGCCAGAGGGAAGGGAATAAAAGGAAGGGAAACATGGATTAGGAGAGGACGCAAAGGACATGGCGCACCGTCTTATGGTGACGGTGAAATCCGCGCCCCCCCTTTGGGGGGGCAATCAGATTGCGAGGATTAGGCTTCAGCAGCTGAGCAACTTTACTTTCATCAATGCACTTGATACCTGATATGTTCCAGTGAGCAGATACCCAAAGCACGTAACCTCTCGGGTTCAAAAGAAATGGTATTCCAATGTATGAAGCCGCCCTGGATCCCCTGCTGGCCTGAAAAAGGGGCTTAGCCACAACTAAACCACATTGTCAAAATGTCTGTGTGCACCATCGTTCGAAAACCACGGTCCTCCCAATAACCCAGAAGAAATGAATCCATCAGTGCCAGACATGAGAGCGGTTCAAGACAGCTCGCATGGACGATAGCCAATGGCAATGCTGAATACATCGATTGTGATGATACCGTGGCAGGGGGTGTGCTGTGCTGCGCTGTGTTTCATGCTTTGTTGAAATGTGATATACTCTGTACCCTTGTATTGCGCTTTGGATCCAGTCGTCCTTGGCGTCCGAACCTGTCCGAACTGATCTGGGGCATCTAGCTCGACCCGCCGACGCACCTAGCTCCCCCACAGAGGTTGCAGTCGCAATGTGCGGGGTGCGCAGCCAGCTCGAGCTCAAGATCCGCTTCAGTACCGAAATGGGACGGGCCGAGAGGGAGGCGAAAGTGTGCGCCACGAACTGTGCCAGGAGCGCGCCGGGGCATGCGCCGAGGAACGCGCTGGGGGAAGTCGCATGGGACGCGCCATCGGACGCGCCAGGGGACGAGCCGCGTGACGCGGAGGAAAGCCATGGAGGACGAACCGGGGGACACGCCGGGGGAGGTGCCAAGGGACGAGCCACAGGACGTGCTCGGGGACGCGCCCTGGGACACGCCAGGGGACGTGCCAGGGGGGCGGTCCCGGGGACGCGCCAGGGGGTGTGCCAAGGGAAGCGTCAGGGGGCACCGCCAAGGCACGCGCAACGGGACGTGCCAAGGGACGCGAGACGGAATACGTCAAGGGACGCGCCAAGGGGCGAACCGAGAACGCGCTATGGGGCGGATCAAGGGACGTGCCATGGGACGTGCCGCGCGACGTGCCAGTGGACACGCCAAGGGACGTACCATGGCACGCCTCAAAGAACGTGCCATGGGATACGACACGGAACGTTTTGCGCGACGCGCCTGGGGATGTGCCGCAGACGAGCCATGGGACGCGCCAGCAGACGCGCAAGTGGAAACGCCAATGGACGCGCCAGGGGAGGGGATGGCCAACCCGGCTCTGCAAGTCCCGCGAGGCAACTAGCGCATTTCGCCGGGCCCAGCCCCTCCTGCAGAAGGCATTGCACCTGCACGTGCGCAAATAGGACAACGCAGCAGCATGGTGTCAGCTGCTGACTTGATTTCGGCACAACGACTTCAATGCAGTACATCGCACGTTGAGAGCGATACCCTGACATGGTATGTGCGTGTAAGGCGAAAAGCATCGGACCTGCATGTCATCTGTCTTGACAGCACGGGAAGCAGCCAAATACTAAAGGTTGAGACCCCCATATGTGCATCTCATTCCGGGCACGTCCAACTGTGAGTGTGTGGCCGTAGGCATCGGGATGAGAGCGGGTCCGAGTGGACGACGAGTACGACGACCACGGCGGCGGCTACGATGAGGGCCGACGAAGTCAACTCAACGACTGACAAGCGGTGAACAAACGCCCTCCCCTCTCCATCCTCTGACTGCTCACCGTACCCCCCCTCCCGTCTCGTCCTCCCTCCTCCCTTCCCCCTCTGCATGCGTCCTCCTCATCCCTCATCCGTCCTCAATCGTCTGTGCTGGCGGTCGTCCTTCCTCCTACATCGAAATGACAATGGTGCTCTGAATGGGCAGGAGTCGAAGGTGCCAAACCGAGCGCCCCGCTCGATCCATCCCAACAATCTGGCCGCCTGGGGTGCTGAAGCCAACGCCTCGCTTGAGACGTCCTCTCAATTCGCTTCGAAAACACCGACGCCCAGGACACCACGCAAACAAAACGGCCTGAGACATCACCACAATCTGGTTGCAAACGAGCAAATGTCCTACCCTTGGCGGCTCCTCCTTCGGGTGCTAAAGCCAGCGCAACGTTCGAGACTGAACGCACCGAGGCCCACGCCACCAAACAGGCACACCGCCTGAGACATCCCCACAACATGGGTGCGAACGGGCAACTGTCCCTCTCCCTGGTGGCTCCTCCTTGGGGTGCTGCAACCAGGGCTTCCCTCGAGACATCCTGACAGTCTGCTCTGAACGCGCCGAAGCCCAAGCCACCAAACAAGCTGCCCGCCAGAGACATCCCCACAATCTAAGCACAACGGGCAAAATCACCACCCCTGGCGGGTGCTCACGCGCCACGTCTCCTACATCGCAGTGAGCACCGGGCTCTGGAATGAAAGGAGCTCGGTCAGCCAAACAGGCGAACCGCCTAAGACATCCCCACTGTCTCGGCGCGAATGGGTAAATGTCCCCACCCCTGGCGGCTCCTCCTTGAGGTGCTGAGATACTACGTCTGCTACATCGCGATGAGCATGGGGCTGCGAAAAGAGAGAAGTCGAATCAACCAAACAAGCAAAACGCCTGAGACATTCCAGAAATCTGGACGCGAACCGGCAAGTGTCCCCCCCCTGGCGGCCCGTCCTCGAGGTGCTCAAATGCAACACCTGCTACATCACAATCGGCATGGGGCTCTGACTGTACGAGTGATATATATATATATATATATATATATATATATATATATATGTATATGTATATGAATATGACTTGAACGAGACTGAGTATGTCCGAGTCTGAATATGAGTCGGTCTGAGTGAGTGTGAGTCTGAGTATCAGTGAGTGTGAGTGTGAGCGCGTCTGAATAGGAGTGTGCCTGAATGTCCGTCAGTCTGAGTATCAGCGAGTCTGAGTGTGAGTGATCTGAGTGCGAAGGAGGAGGAGGAGGCGGGAGGTAAGAGAGTGGATGCGTCCCAATGATCTGATTGGTGCGCGCGCGTGGCGGCCATTGGGGGTCCCCGGACGAGAAGAACCCCAGCTGGACCCCGGACAAATCCCGCGCAACTCCTGGGCAACTCCTGAGCAACACCCAGGCAACTCTTCGGCGGTCAGTGTTTCGGATGCCGGAGCTCCTGGGGGCGGCCTGAAGAGAACCCAAGGGCGCTTCAAGAGGATACAAGAGTCGAGATCAATAGGTGGCAGGTCTCAATATTGCCCGAAAACAATGCCAGGAAGCCTCAAGATAGCCCCAAGATGGTCCAGACAGGCCCAAAAGGCCCCCCAAAGGTTAAAGTTCTGTCATGCTGATTAAGTTTTGGAGCGATGTTTAACAAATCTTGGAGCGATATTCGTGTCACTGCCTTTTCGGGCTTCCGGCCGCTCAAGCCAGCCGAAGAGGCCCCCAAATCAGACCAAAAGGCTCCCAGGACGGCCCGAAAAAGCCCCCGAACGGCCCCCGAGGCCTCCCGAGAGGGCTGCAGAGGCTCCCAAGAGGCCCCTGAGAGGGGGAATCCTAACTGGCATGTTGAACCCTTTCCCCCGAAACATGGTCCCCGAGACCGCCAGCAGGCCACCCAAGAGGCCCCTGGAGACGCAGAAGACCACCCCAAGAGCCCCCAAGAGGCCCCCGGGGAGTCCCCAGGATGTCCCAGAAATATCACCGAGAGGCCGCCGAGAGGCCTCCCAAGAGACCTCAAGAAGCCTCCCAAAGGGGCGTGCTGGCCCAAAGAATATCCCAAGAAGCCATCAAGAGGCCTCATCATGATCCTCCCATCTTCCTCCTCCTCCTGCTCCTCATCCTGATCCTCCTCCTGCTCCTCCTCCTCCTCCTCGCTCGCTCGCCACGAATACACCAACACATAGCACAAGTGATACAATATGGGCCGGCGGAATGAGCGACGCGATTGATTCGGTGGGCCCCCTGCGGACCCTCGCCGTGGTAGGCGTCGAGACAAAGTCAGGAGATGAAGGTGAAACGGAGGACGGTGAGAAGCATGCAGAAAGGCATGCAAACAACGACCTCGCGCATTCCGATGTCCCATTCTCTGGGGGCACGTAAACATACTAGTGATACATGCTCCGATGGTCTCAACTGGCCATTTCGCTCGGATGTCCTCGACACATCGGGTTCGGACGGGACACTTAGTAGTCTCAAAACTGCCGTTTCACTAGGGACATCTTCGACAACTCGGCTTCGGAAAGGACTCTGAATGACGAAATTCGGCGGGCCCCCCGCGAGCCCTCGCCGTGCTAAACTTCGACACAAGATGACAGAAGGGAGGATGATGGAGGCGTGGGAAGCATGCATCAATGCATACCAGGAGGGGCCTCGCGCATTCGGTTTCCCCTCAGTTTTCCCGGGGACGCGTAAAAATAGGAGTGGCATCTGCTCCCAGCGCTAGGCCCACGCGCGTGACAACTCCTGAGGCACGTGACAACACAAGCGAGATGCGCCCTCCGGGCTGCGCAAGCCTCGTTTCGGCGCACCCCTTGGGCAGTTTCTCGCTGACATGATGCTGGGACGCGCAAAAATACAAGTGAGCATGTCCCTCATGGCTACGACACTGCCACTGCGACCCACAACTCACGCATCTCCTGGTTCACACTGTACTGGGACACGTGAAAATACGAATGTTCTGCGCTCCGATGCCGTTCGACCGTCCACGGGACGCAAACATGGACCCAAGAAACGTCGCAACGATTGGTACCGAACCTCGTCGAGGCAATGTACCTAACACCCACTGTTTGCAAAGTCTGCGTGGACCTTCCCCCTGGGGCCCCTGTCTCACGCTCTGCGGACTCCATGCTTCGGATATTAGGGAATCATGAGAACCCCAGTCAGGGTATGGGGAATAAAATTGGTCAGTGGCGCCAATACCCAGTCACTCCTGGACACCGGAGGTGACGAGACCTCCAGACGCCGCCGAAGAGCTGGGGAAACCAATAGGTGCCGATACCGCAACTCCCCGGACCTCTCCCGGGGTGCGTTCTGACCAGAATCTCGAGGCGAATCCAGCGGTGGCGACGAGGGCCTCCCAGGAGACCCGAGAAGGGGAAAACGGGCAGAGGGTAGTGGCATGGGTCCCTCTTCTTCCTCTGAGGCGCTGGGGAGGGAGGGGAAGGGGAGAATGTGAGAGAACAAGAGGGGAAAGAAAGGGAAGGTGTGTGGAGGGAAGAGTGGTGTGGAGGTGGGAGGGGATGTGGAGGCGGGAGAGCGAGAGGGAGAGGGGAGGGGCAAGTTAATACGGCGGGGGAGAGAGGGGGGAGTGAGAGGATGAGGGTAGAGAAGTGAAGGGAACTGAAGTGAAGGGGGAGGGGGGGAGGGGAGAAAATCCAAGGACTCGACACTTCAGCCTTACCAGAGGAGGGCCGAGCCCGCTCCGGGTTTGGCCATCTGGTCTGGCGTCCAGCGACCTTGGGGGGAACGTGAGGATGAGCAGGAAGGCGCGATCCAACTCATCGGCAAGCCAATGGCGGCCACCCAACGGGCTTCTGCCAAAATCCAGGGCCGAGGAATGGCCCCACCCGTCAGTCGTGCAGGCGACCGCTCTCTCGCGTGCGGGGGTGGACAGGGAGGGGCAGGCGGCCCACTCTTGCACTCGGAGCCCCCGCGGTGGTGGGGGGAGCGAGGGCGGGGGGCGTCTACGCAAAGATCATTCATCTATACACCATCACTGTACCTCCTCCTCCTCCTCCTCCTCCTCCTCCTCCTCCTCCTCCTCCTCCTCCCCCTCATCCTCATCCTCATCCTCATCCTCATCCTCCTCATCCTCCTCTGTGGCCTGGCGAAGCGAAGCAGCTCACGTGGGCGAAGCAGGGCCAAGCATGGTGATGGTGCACAGTATATCGTCAGTAGACGCGTTCTCTGCGCAGGGGAAGGGGCCCAGTCTTGCGCTCAACACCCGCGGGTGGGGGGGAGGTGAAGCTTGGGGGGGGGGTCTACCGTCCAGCCCAGAAGGCAGCGGTCATGTGGCCACTCGGCGCCCGCACTTGCCCCCCACTCCGCACACCGCGGCGCCACCTGAAAGCCAGCTGGAGTCCTGCATGATGTTGACCATGGTGCTGTCGGGCGCGTTGAAGAGCGTCATGACGTGTGTGAACTCCTCCACGAAGAGAGGAAAGCTGCACCACCGCAGCAGCGACATCGCAGCAATACAGCTCAGAAGGGCGCGGCAACGCAGCAACGACACGACAACCGACCGAACCGAATCGCCCGACTGCAGCCGACTGCGACGCGACCGAACCGACCGCATCGCAGACACCCCTGGCACCACCGAGAGGCCCAACCCGCCCAACCAACGCCTGCCGAGGCACGCCAGCACCGCGAGCCGCCGAGCCGAGCCCCGCAAGGGCAATGAACCAGACCACTGGAACCGTTCTTTTTTTCCGATGAAGACACAACAGCTGAGGGCCCCTTAAACGCGACCCGGGGGCGAGGAGCCACCCAGACTTTCGGCGACAGCCGAACGCCTTATGTACACTATGGTACCAGTCCTCTACACAAAATACCAGACCACCGGAACCGTCCATGAAGAAGAAGGGTCCTGAGGAAAAAGGGTCTGCAGATGCTCTGCCGTGTTCTGGCTCCGAGGGCCCTCCCAGAGTCCTGCAGGAGCAGAAGGGAAGGCGACACCAACACCACCAGGGCGAGGAGACGCGAGAGGCAAGGGGGGTCACCCTGGTGGTGTGGTCCCCCCCTCTTGCTCGAGACGTCCCCAGCCTCCAGCTCGGGAGGGCATCGTGGACCTCCTCGCTGGAAGTGGCCCCCCCTGGTGGTGTCGGTGTCGCTCGTCCTCCCTCCGAGTCCTGGAGCTGTAGGGCAACGACCGAGGACGAGCGACTGGCGATGAGGAAAGCCCGTGGGCCCTGGGCCCGTTTCCCCCAGGGCCCCCCCCCTTCCTTCGTTGGACAGAGCGTGCCGAGTCGCACCGTGCGTGGCAGCGCGCAGAGGCGAGGTAAGTCAAGGCGAGGATGTCACCTCTTTTCGGAAGGTACTGGGGCTTGCAGAAGTAGAACAATGGCAAAACGCAAAACTGCATAAGCATAAACTTGTATGCGAGGCGGGGATTTCTCCATATCCACCGCCTGTGAACCGACGTCCTGGTGCCCCAGCGAGCGGTAGATATGGACATGTTTTGGCCCCCGGGGGGCCGAGTGTGTCCACATCCACCGCCTGCCGAGGTCCCCGAAAACTGATCCTCCAGGCGGTGGTGATGTATAAACTCCTGCCTCGGAGGCTTGCAAGAGTTGCAGACACACACACACACACACTTGAAACACAATATAATATAATAGGATAGGATATAACATAATATTATATAAGATAATATAATATAATATAATATAATATAATATAATATAATATTATATTATAGTAAAGTCCTGCCTCCTCCGAATTGAAGAAAAAACACGAAACTGTGTAAACATAGACTTGTCACCCTTGGAGGCCCGCGCGGATCTCGCGGATCCGGGCTCGGGCCCCCTCCCTGGCGCGCGGAGCGCGCCGGGGGGTCCGACGCCGCGGGCGCCGCCAGGGGGCCCCCAGCACGGATCCAAGAACTCCGCGCGGAGCGCCAAATACTCCAGATTTCGTAATAAAGGGAGGGGGGTCTCATTTCGGGGGGGGTCTCTTCCAGGCTATCTTGGAGGGCCTGGGGCCCTCTGGGGACGATGTTTTGGAGGGTTCTCCCACGGGGGAGGTCTGAAATGGCTTGTCTTGGAGGGTCCAGACCCCCTCCCTTTATTTACGACATCTGGAGTACTTGTCTGTTCAAAACAAGACATATTAGTTGTCCGGGGAAGACTGTGTGGCGCGGAGCGCCCAACGTTTATGGCGTTTTCTCTTCGAAAAAGGGCGCCCGAGGCATCTGAAGGAGCTGCTTGACAGAAGGCTCCCGGGAATCCATCGTGGCCTTCTTGGACGTGCCGCTTCACCGCGCGCCAAACCCTGATGCGCGCAACCAGAATTTACAGTTGAGTATTGGACGTGTGAGGCTGTACGGTGTTGAACGTCCCTGGCGGTTTTGGGCCCCAGCAGAAGCAACAAAGACAGCCGAGAGAAAACACGAATGGCCAGACGCGACGGCAGAAAATGGGAGAAGTACCTGAGCAAGCGGGAGGAAGGAACCTTGCTTCTTCGAATCGGCACCAAAGATTCGGGAATAATGACACGCACTCGCACACACAAGAACCCCAAGAACACCATAATCCGTCATGGGTCACAACTTACGCACTAGACACCACTAAGAATGGAAAGCATGCCGGAATGAAATCCTCGATGTTCAACTTCCCGTCGCCGTCCTGGTCCCCGGAATCGAGGATCGCCTGCTCGGAGTCTCAATGTGCAAATACAACAAGACATATCTTGAACTGCCGTCATATTTTGTGGCGCTGCACCCCAGAAGCGTGAGACGAAAGACAAGGCACAAAAATCAACGAGAAACTGTTCACCGCTGACTGCTAGCTGATTTTTTCGAACGGTGTATGTACGTGCAGACGATGTCTGTAAACGCTGCGCGTACATGCGTGTTCAACTAGATGTGGAAGCGCTTCGGATCTGAAACGCTGAAGTCCCGTTGTAAGGTCAACGACCCCTCAGGATAACAAGCGTGGGGGATGCCTGCCAATCCCCTGTACCCTCTCCGTCGAGGGGCTGATATTGCCGTTTGCTTTCCTCGGAGGGGGGCAGGAAATGCCCCCAACACGGTTTGGTAGTCCGAAATGCCCTAAGGCTCTCCGCCGTCTCCCAAACAGACCAAGAGGCTGCAAAAACGACGCAAGGTGTCCCAACGAGCCCATGAGAGCCCAAAACAGGCATCATGAGGCACACGAGAGGTCCCAAGAGAGGCATCATATAACAACTATACAATGATGTGCGGTGCTTTGGGCTTCCTCGCTTGTTTGGAACAATGCAGGCACACCATGTTGGGGCACAGCGAACCGAGAGCATCAACATGGCCCACGGAAGAGGATCACACAAGAGACCCAACAACCAAATAAAACACCAAGACAGTCCGAGAGAGACTCCGAATGAGCCTGATATGACCAAACAGCCACCGACATGGCCTCCAGAATGCGCCAACACTGCCCCAGAGGGCGCCACGAGGTTCCCAAGCTGCCCCATTCCTTTCCAGGAGGAACCCCACATGCCCCAAAGACCACTCCAGAGGGCCTCAAAGGAGCCATCACACAATTCAGAAAGGCTCCACAAAGGACCAGCCCGCCCTCCGATCGGATCTGGTGATCCGCCCAGATCTTCAAGAAAGCGGGAGCTGGTGCCCCCTCCAATGGCACGGCATGGTCTGTTTGCCTTGCCCCAGGAATCACATTCGTCAAACGGGCATGGAATGCGGACTGATGATCCGCCAGGATCTCCAGGACCTGGGCGGATGAGGCCTCAAGGAGAGATCCTTGTTCAATGCCAGCACTGACCACTGGTAGACTCCTAAAGCGACCGCTACCAAGGAAAATCGGCCCACGGGGCCGCCAAGACGATGCAAACCATTCCCACGTAGTTGGCAGTGTGGAGTAAGCCCGGTGAAGCCACGGCCGCGATGCAGAATCGGGCCCGTCTTGAGAGGAAAGCAATCTCATGTTTTGCAATGTTTTGATATGCTTTCTTTTTGTTGCCGATTACCAAAAACTAAAGATGTCGTGATCACGAAACCCCTGCAAATCGCGCCCCATCAACCGCACTCCGCAAAACTGTTGCAATCGATCGCGCCGTTGGTCTCAAGACGGCCCCAGAAGCAGATCCAGTATGTCTAGGCATCCCAAAACGGTCTCGAGATGAACCTCAATTTGCAAATTGCAAAAGTCAAAATAGAGCGTGCTGTCGTTCGTTGACGTTTGGCTGACCTGAAAGGTTGACCTGAAAGGCTCCATGAGAGTCTGGAGGGAGAGGGAAATGAGGAAGAGAAAGAAGAGGAGCAGGGAATGAGGAGGACGAGTTATGAAAGAAGGGCGACGATGGACGAGGAAGAGAAGGGTGAGAGATGATGGGAGAGCACGGAGGAGAATCATCTCGAGGACGTGAGGATGATGAGGAGTACGAAGAGGGAGGATGAGGAAGGGGAGCCTGAGGAGGCTTAAAAGGAGGAGAATGAGACGAGGACGAGGAGCAAAGGAAGGAACAACAATGAATATCTACATATAAGTCGGGACTCTGCTGACGAGGAGGGGGAGAAGGAACCGCGCGCGACACCAGAAGCATGTTCTAGCCACGCCACCCAAGTGCCCGATTTTTCGGCCAGCCCACTAGACGTGATGGAAGGTTTGTCCAGAAGTGTCAGCCGCGAGGCGGTATCCTTCACAGATTCTGGCAGGATTGAACCACACAGACCATTCAACAGAACAATGCCCAGCCTGAACTTCTTCATCAGCGAAGCGACTGCGAAGTTCTTGTCTTGTGACGACGCCATCATGGTCCTTATACGCCGAATAAGTACCGCAATAACAAAGAAAATGCGAGGCGTGCTATGGGGTCACTATACCAACCGCATGCACTTGCTACGGCAACACACTTTGTACACAAACATGCCACCTCGTTCGACTTGCATGAGCGCACGAGTGGTAACTGGGCGAACTGTATATGAGGGTCGCGGGAGCATGTGACCCACCTGTGACTGGGACTGGGAAGAGGAAGTGGAGGCCAGCGAAGGGGAGGAGGACGACTGGGGAAGGACGGAAGGATCAGGAGATGGAGACGGGTGAGTCGAGCCATGACCAGAGGGGCAAGGCAAAATTGGAAAAGAAGGGCACGTGTTGTTACTGCCGCGCGGCCCCCATGTGCTGGGGGGGGGGTCGAAATCACCACACAATAGAAACTGCACGAAGGCCAGGAACCCAGGAGGCGAGCCAAACCAATGGGGGCAATGAGGAGGCCGACCGGCGGGATGTCGGAGGCTACCTGAATGTCCTGCCACTTGCTGCGCCCCTCATATCTCATGCCCCAGGAGAGTCCTTATCAATCTCAGCGAATGCCTCCTTGATCTCGCCGCCTTGGCCGCGAAACGCTGATCCTCATGCCCTTCATCATCCAACTTACCATGCTTGCATGACGAAGAGCCTCATCGCAGTCATGACCACTTAACCACCTGACCAATATCATCTGCAACGCAAAACGGCATCAACATGCTCGTCATCATGCACTCCACCGTTCCCGACCGCCATCCCGATCCCGCTGCCCTTCCCCCCCCCTTTCGGTCATCATCCATCCCCTGCTCGTCCACTCTCCTCCCTCCTCTTTCCTCCTCCATCCGCCGTGCTCGACCTCCTCCGCCTCCCTCCACTACCCTCCGCCTCCACGTCCACGCTTGTTCTCCATCTCCACCTCCTTCTCCGTCCTCCTCGCTCATCCCTTTTCCTCCCATTCTCTCCTTCGCTACAACAGCTGAGGATGAATACAATAGCTAGAACCATCGAGCACTGTCTTAGGTTCTAGCTAGCTCGGGGGCCACGGCATAGCGCAGGAAGGGGTGTTCCATGATAACCCAGAGCCGCACGGTGTCGATGGCGAATTACGACCTCCCACAAGGATGCCATGGATCTACTTCGACCGAAGCAGGGGACAACCCAAGAAATTCAATGGTGGTAAAAACCGGTCTCGTCATTTATGGCAAGTCCTAGCCGCCGTCCTCTCTGCGCTGAGAGGGCCCAGACGGTGAAAGGTCGGATGCACGAATTTCCTGGCGCGAAGGCAACTCGCCGCAGGGATGCCCAAGGCCCTATGCAGCGGGATTCCTAGATTTCGACGGCAAATCCAATGGCGCAACCTTGCGTGAAATCGCACGTAAAGCTTTATACTGCACTAGTTAGGAATTCCTGCGGATTGCCCCATGAGAAGGCCCCTTTGCCAGCCCGTTCGACCCCGCCCGATGGCCTTCCGTGATCTGAGGGGCTCCATCGATCCGCCTGTCAAGCGCCCCTGATCCGCCTGGGGATAAGCCGTCAGATCTCCCCCACGAGCAGTTCGCCCGGGCGCCCCCCCTGTTGGAATAGACACCCTCGCTGAAAAAAAGGCCATGCACTAATTCTTGCGGAACGCCCCGCCTGGCGCTAACAGATTCGCACTTATTTTAGATGAAACGATAACAAGCTACTGTCTGCAACCGTCTTCATTCGGGAACCCGTCCCCGCTTGGACCAGAAGCTCCTGATCTCATTGCCGTTTGCGAAGCTGTCTCATACAGACCAAATTCAAAGACTATCCAAGATGGCGCTGGCGTTACCCATCGTAGCAGTAGTAAGGATACATGTCCCTCGGCATCGGGCTCACCAAAGAATGCTCGCAAACCACCGAAACGTGCAATCGGTTCTTTGTCCTGGCTAGGCTTAGGTCGGGCATGTCCTCCTACAGGCGGATGTTGAAGGACAACTAACAAATAGCCAAACCATACTCCGCCAAAGTAGAACATAGTAAAACATCGTCCCATTACTAACTGTTTCAACCTTTGGAACATTCCCCCCGTCGAGGGACATGCCCGATTTGATGCTCGGCAGGGCACCTGTGACACACTGCGGACGGAGCGCGTGTTCACCCAGCGAACGGCAGGCGCTCGGGCGCGATCCACCGCTCTGCGACCTGGCGGAAGAACAGTTCCCTTACGCAAGAGGTCCGAGGGGAGCGCGCCCGTGGCGAAAACCCAAAGAGGGGGGAGCGGGGGTACCCCCCGTAGCTACCCCCCCTCCCCTTGGAGCCGCCCTGCCGGACCCCCCCCCCTCCTATGTTCTCGCCCCTCGGAAGCTACCCCCCCCCCCCTGTCGCGCTCCAGAAACTGCGCCCTCCCCCCCCCCCCCCTACCCTCCCTGTCCAAAAGGGGGGGGGGGGCTCAGCTACCCCCCCCCCCTTGAGCCTCCCCTGCCGGAAGCCCCCCCTCCCTCTCCTTTTTTCCGCTCCTTGGAAGCTACCACCCCCCTCCTTTCGCGCTCTGGAAGCTCCCCCCCCCTCGCTTTCCCAAAGGTGGGGGGGGCCTTCTCCATTTTTCTCCTCCTCGGAAGCGACGCTCCCCCCTCGTCCCCCTATGGAGCTCCCTATGGGGCCACGAAGCGCTGTACTGAGCGGGGGAGACGCATGCGAACACCGCCACTGGCGCCTTCGGTGGAGCTCCTGATGGGGCCACCAAGCGTTGCACTGGGCGGGGGAGATGCATGCGAACACCGCCGCTGAGGCCCTCGGTGGAGCTCCTTATGGGACCACGAGACGTTGTACTGGGTGGAGGAGACGCATGCGAACGCCGCCACTGGAACCTTCGGTGGAGCTCCCTCTGGGGCAACTAAGCGGTGTACTGCGTGGGGGAAACGCATGCGGACACCGCCACTGGGGTCTTCGGTGGAGCTCTCTCTATGTGACCACGAAACGCTGTGCTGGGTGGACTGAAACGGATGCGGACACCGGAGGACACCGCCACTGGAGCCGTCGGTGGGGCTCCCTATGTGACCACGAAACGCTGTACTGGGTTGGGGAAACGTCTGCAGGCACCGCCACTAGGGCCTTCGGTTGAGCTCCTTGTTGGGCCACAAAAAGATCACTGGGTAGGGGAAACGCACGCGGACACCGCCACTAGGGCCTTCGGTGAAACTTGTTGTTGGACCACGGAACGCTGTACTGGGTAAAGAGAAGCGCATGCGGACACCGCCACTAGAGCCTTCGGTGGCGCCTCCTTATGGGGCCACAAAACGCTGTTCTGGGCGGGGGGAACGCATGCGTACCAGGCCATTGGGGCCTTCGGTGGAGCTCCCTCTGGGGCCACGACACGTGTGAGAGGTGTGCCAGAGTGGACGGGGGCGGCATGCGAGCGCTGGCATCTGGGCCTTCGGTGGAGCTCCCTAGGGGGCCACGAAGCGTGTGAGTGGCGTTGACCAAAGTGGACAGGTGGCGGCATGTGACTGCAGCCACTGAGGCCTTCGGTGAAGCTCCTTATGGGACCACGAGTAATGTGAGGGGTTGACCAAAGTGGACAGGAGGCGGCATGTAAACGCAGCCACTGGGGCCTTAGGTGGAGCTCCCCATGGGGCCACGGAGCGTGTGAGGGGTGTGCCAAAGTGGACAGGATGCGGCATGTGAACGCAGCCACTGGGGCGGAAAGGATGAGGAGGAGAAGAAGGAAGAGGAGGAGGAGGAGGAGGATGTGAAGGTGGAGGAAGAGGAGGAGGAGGAGGAGGAGTACGAGCATGAGGAGTGGTGTGGAGATGAGCAGTATTCCGCCGCTTCTGAAAGCACCCAGCTTTGTGAGTGGCCGCCACGTTTCGAATGGCACGGGCGGCTGGCTTTCAAACTGGTCAGCCCGCTTGCGGAGGTCATGGGTAGGCGCACCCGATAGCATTGCTTGCATATCGTTGAGGTTTATCGAGCGCTGCGTTCCAACTTCGCTTTTTTCTTGGATCGCGGCAATCCAAATGCGACGGCTCCTGCCAGCCAACGATTGCCCAAAGAAACAACAATGAGGACTAGGAGGAGGAGAGGGAGGATGAGGAGGAGGGGGGGAGGGGCGGGGATGGATGGAGGGAGGGAGAGAGATGGGAGAGTGGGAGCAAGTGTGCGGGGGCGGCAGGAGGGGGGGGAGGAGTCACTCCTCCTCCTCCTCCCCCCTCCCTCCCCGAAACGGGGAAGCCCGCCGCTGAGCTTTCCATCGCCATCGCGGTCGAGCGACGACGTGTCGGGCAGCGCCATCCCGCAGCGCCCGGGCGGGGGGGGGCGGGGCAACGGCGCGGGGCTGAGGGGCACCGTGGGGGGACGAGGAGAGGCGGCTCGGGTCACGCGCGAGGAGGGGCGTGGGCGCCTGCCGATCGGCGGCCCGCCGAGGACTAGGGCCCGCCGCCGTGGAGGCTCGAGGGCGCAAGGGCTCAAAGATCGAGGTTTCCGTGCGTTCGACCCTGTTTGGGCCTCCATGGCAGTCTCGTCGCTGCAGTCGGATTCCCGTGCACGTCCGGGTCAAATCGCACCGATGGATAGATTCATGGGATGACGTACAATAATGGCGAATCATACGAATGATCGTAGTCGTGAGAATAATGATACTAATACCAAGACTGGTAGTAGTAATAATACGAATAGGCAGCGTTTACTTATAATAAGCAGTGGTAGTATTATAAAAATAAGAATACACATCAGTCGTACTACATACGCTGATCTTAAGAACTACGTGTAAGGTTAGTGGTACCAACATTCGTATGACCACCATTATTCTTAGTAGTAGTATACTAGAAGGGTGAACGCGAACCCACGGGATGGCTTGCGCGGGCCGCAAGCGCAGTTTCCGCGTGGAGAAAAGGGCGTTCACGCGCAACCCACCGACGACGGTCTAAACGCGGAGGTCCGCGCAGCGGGCACCATTTTTTCATAAGATGATGAATTCGTGCTGGAGTAGGATGGGGTGGTACATTGGAACGCATCTTCGATGCGGCACAACCGTCCACCCCCATCCACGGCGACCTCATCTGGAAGGCCTGGAACTGAGGCCTTTTCAAGCGGTCGTGGGCTGGCGTGGCATGGCAGTCGAAAGATCGTTTGGCCTGCAGTGACGAGACCCGGCAGACGACCAATGGATGCGAGAAACGAAAGCAAACCAAAGTCTGGAACGCCCAACATCGGGGGCGCCCAAAATCCAGAACGGGCGGTCGCAAATCGGTGCCCGAGGCGCGCGTGCGACCCAGGTGGGGCCAAAGGACGCATCACATATGACAAAGAGGCCATGACGTGCGGAGATAAACCATGTCCCGGGCCACAATATCCACCCCCCACTACTGGCCTCCCCTGGGACGAACGGATGCGACAAACGAAAACAAACCAAATGATGGCAACATTGTTTGCTTCAGACATGTTACCCGGTGTGGGCCCCAAGCTGTGTAATTATCTATTGTCATAGAGATGTGTGTGTGTGTGTTGCAGTCTGCAGGGTTGCAATCTGTGCAACAAATTGCAAACTACGTGTTGCAATCTGCGTTGTGCAACAAATCATATGCTATCTATGTGGCGCAGCTTATGCGCGATGCAATACATGTTGTGGTCTCCCCGAGTGGCCTTCTCAGCAGTGGGATGGTGGCGTAAAGCGTGGGGGGGGGGGGGGAAGAGTGTGAGGGGCGTAAATGCCAATATTCAGGGGTGTCGGAGACGGGGGCCATGTTGCGTAGGGGCCCGAACCACTCCCAGGAAATTGATGCCCCGCTGCGGTAGGCGGGCTGCTCAGAATCGGCCGACATTCTGGGCCCAAATGGCCGCAGGCATCTGGCAGACTGACAGCATGCACCTTCGTGTTGTCACGCGGGGGCACATGCTCGAATGGCCCCCAAATCGGTGCGATGGCAATGAAAAAAGGAAGGCGGAGGGGGCGCAAATGGCTCATGCACGGGCGGCGGACCCGGGGGCTCTGTTGCGCAAGGGCCCGAGCCACTCCCAGGAACTTGATGCCACTCCTTCAGCGATGGGAGGGGGGGGGCTGGGGCCTGGATGCGCGGGGGGCTCGGGCCCCGGGGCTCCGCGCCGGGCGCGGCGAGCGTCAAGGCCCGCCTGCCGCGCCTCGCCACCTGCGCCCCGTCGCGCCTGCGTCGCCGCCCCCCCGCCGCGCCGCGCGGTGGCGAGGGGGGCAGGGAAGGTGGCTCATGGGCTCCCCCCTCAGGGGCCCCCGCAGACCCGACTCCTACTCCCAACGGGTGGGCCCTCGCACACAGAGACGTCCGCCGGTTTCCCACGGGGGGAATGCGGGGTCAGGAGGGGGCCCCCCTCGGGCGCCGGGAAGTTTGACACGCCTCCGAAAACCTCGCGCTGAAAGGTCGCGCGGGGCCCCGCGCGCCGTCGCCGCCGCCGCCTCCAGCTCCGCCCGCGCGGCGTCGTCAGCGACGCGCTGGGCGATGCTGTCAACGCGGCGCTAGGCAGTGCGCCGGCGGCCCCTCTGGCCGCGCCCGCCGCGGGCGCCCTGCCCTTCGCGGCCGCCTTCCCCTCGACGACCGGCTCGCAGGGCCGCCCGGAGGCCCGCGCCATCTCGTCGGGCACGTGCCGCCTCAGCTCCGCGGCCGCCGCGTGGATCCCGAAGTCTTCGCGTCTCTAGGATCGTCGGCCCCCTGGCTTTTCATGGCGCGGTTGCCGATCTAGGCTCGGCGCCATCTCGTGCCACCTCGTGTTCTCTGTGAGCCTGATGAGGGGGCCGTCAAAATCAACTTGGTCGACGCGGCCCTGTTCGCCGCGCGGGCGTTCCCCTAGATGTCGACCCCGTCAAGTTGAGGTTCGCCATCTGAGGGCGCGTCCTGGCCTTCGCGAACAGGCCTTGCGCGGCGGATCGCGCCGAGCGCCGCGGTGGCCCAGGTCGGGTCGTTTTGCTTGGTCCGCGCCCAAGGGATTTACTCCTCTACCTCGAGCGCATGCCAGCGGCCCCCATCGCACGCTGATGTCCGGCGGTGCTTCGCAGTCGCCGATCCCGCAGGGCCCTCAATCGGCCTTCGCATCCGAACGCAAGCGCCCGGCGCACTCGGTTGTGAGCTTGATGGGCGACTCGAATCTCAAGTCGCCAAGAGTTTGCTGACCCGCGTTGGCACGAGCCTGATCGCCCGCGGTAGGGGGGGCTCTTCCTGTCATGCCTCGCGACCTGGCGAACCATGAATTTGGACGCCTGAAATGGGCACGGAAAGAACGGGCACAATGCCCAACAACAAATGTTGTCCAGAACCAACAGCGGCCGCTGTTGGGCAAGCGGCCTTCTGCCTCAAATGGACACTGGCCGCGGCGGCGTGGACGGCGAGTCCTGTTCAGAATGAACAGGAACTGCTGTTGGGCATTGTGCCCATTCTTTCCGTGTTTATTTCGTTCGTGTAGAATGAATACGCCGGCCCAAAACGTGGCTTCTCTCATGCCAGGACCACCGCGAAGCCGAGCCAACGTGGACGCCGCCGCGTTCGATCACGTCCTCGCACCAGGCTGCGCCCGAGCCGCCATCGTCTCAGAGCCCACTGTGTACTTAGCGCAGTCGCAAGCGAGACCGATCAGGTCTACCCGGAGGCCGCCTTGCGTCTCGACCCTCTGCGCTTGGAACCCAAGGGCGCCAAGTAAGACGACCGCGAGAATCTCTGCATAGCGCCCTCCTTTCCCCGCGCCGATCGGCTCCAGGTTGCCGGTGTTGCACGGCTGTTCTACTGGCCATTCGTCTCCTACCCGGCATAATGTCGCCCGTGGCATTGCACCGAATCGCCTGGCACACCAGTCTGATGCGCTGGAAATGCAGAAGTTGCCCACGGTGTTGCAAGACACCTCGCACTCGAACTCCAGGCCAGCATGCCTCGTTCGTGCTCGCGAAACTCGACGCGCCGACGCGCATGCGAGACGTCGGCGGCGGTGACAGGAGGTCGCGCTTCTCCGCGAGCTTCGGCATCCCTTGTCGACTCCAGCATCGAACCCTTTGTAGTTCACGGCGACCTCGCGCGCGCCGTCGAGGGCGAGTTTCGCGCCGCACGTGCCCAAGGACTGTCAGCTCTGCGATGGCGTAATTGTCGTGGCAACGGTTGCGCCGCTGCTCCCTGGACATCTAGAACACCCTGCCCGCTTTTTCCTCGCCCGCGGAATGTTATCGGTCAGTCTCTGCGGCATTCCGCGCTGTAGTTGGCCGCCTCTTAGCCAGCCCAATTGGCCATGTTCTGGCCGAGGCGCCACGTCGCGACTTCCTCGAAGAGTCCACCCTGCCGGGGCATCTCGCACAGATGGCCGCCGTGACTCACGGCTCCAGCTCCTTCATCAACTCTGCGCATGGGCCCATAGCTGCGCGTGGAAGTAACGCGAGCAATCCGAGCCAGATGGGCTGCCCCCAGGCGAGAAGACCCCAAAACGTCGCCGTGGTCCGCCCGCCCCTTTGCCCCCTGCCCACCCTTGAGGATCCTCCTGGCCGCCTCCTAGTAGACCTCCTTCCTCGCGGGATCGGAGGGCTTGCTCTGGTCGGCGACGGCCAGCTGCTCCTGCGCCGCCAGCTCGAATGCGGCCAGTTCTGCGACTTCCCATTCGCCCCTGGCTCTCCGGATCCCTCCAGAGAGGTGGGTCCTCATCTCGCCCTGGCACGGGAAATTCCGACAGTCTGGGCGCCGGCGGCCCAAAGCCCGCGCCGTCGTGGGAACTCACCCCCGGCTTCCGATGCACTCGCAGCAGCGAGGTTGCCCTGTGCAGCCGAATTGGCGAGGGACCCTCGCGGCCGCGCGCAACTGCGCCTCCTCCCCTGGCCATGCTGCGATGATGACGCCCGCGCGGCAGTCGGGCATCATGTCGCAGTGGCGCCCGAGGTTCGGGCTGTCAGGCTCCGAGAACGCCTCGATCAAATCTGGCGTCGTCGGGGGCCGCTCCGCGAAGAGCGAGATGGCGGCCTCCCGGTCAGGGCGCGCGACGGGGCCGGGGTTGCCCCGCGCGCCCCCGTGGCGCGCGCTGTTGCCCCGCCCGAAGAAGATGCCGCAGATGCCCCCTTTCCTGAGCCGGCTGCTTACGATGGAGGGCCACCTCTCCAGCGTTCCCTCGCCCTCGCCCTGCTCCCTGGGCGTGTCTGATCCAAATAAGAGTTCCCCATCCCGCGGTCTGCCGTGCTGCCTTTGCCCTGCGCCATATGATCGCGCAACTGCTGGGGCCAGGCCGAGGCGCCCGTCGTTTTCGGCGCGGCGCCCTCCCGCTCGCGCCCCAGAGACTGGCGCCCTGCAGGCGGCGGCGGCAGCGGCCTCGGGCAAACGCCGTTCGCCGCGAACGGCGGCCTCCCGCGGCGGGGCCGCGGGCCAGTGGTCGGCCTCAGAAACGCGCCGATGAGCCAGGGCGGAAGGCAACAGCGCGCGCGACCATTGACGGCTGCCGCATGCTGGCTGGGCGCCGGCCGCAGAGCTCGCCATGCGGGGCGGCGCCGAGGTCCCCGGATTGATCCAGAAGGCCGGTCGCCCGCTTGCTGCT